TGCTTCTGGTGCATCCCCTGCTGGGAACTGGCCTGCAACCCAGGCATGTGCCCTGGCTGGGAATCGAACCGTGATCCTGTGGTTTGCAGGCCCGCGCTCAATCCACTGAGCTACATTAGCCAGGGCTAGAGTAGACATTTCTAATATCAAAGTTTAAAATTATATACGTTTTATTGTCTAGTTTCAGGTATTAAAGACTTAGACCCTCTTCACTGTGAGTTATGAGGCAACTTTACCCTTAAGGCCAAGACACTTGCTACTTTACTCTTCTAGACTCTTTCAGTGCAGTAGTGTACCTTATAATAAACATTAAATCTAGATTCTAGAGTGTAAGTACATTCCAGACATCAAAAATAAGACAAAAATGCTAGTAAGCATCATTTAACATGAAATAGAAATAAAAGCTATACATGTAGAAAGAAAGAAACAAATAATTTACTGGTAGTTGGACCTTCTAAGGGTAAAATTCAGAGGAGACACCTAAAATGCTGTTGAATTCCTATTTTTATTTAACAGCAGGAAGGATATATTTGCAAAAGCCAATAATATATATGAGGTGTGTCCAGAAAAAGTCCAGCTATTGTTAATATAACAGGAATGGTTTGCGGAACACCAACATAACCTGTCCACGAAGGAGAGTGGACTGGAATGCGTGTGTGTGAACAGTGACAACTTCACTGGACTAGTCAGTGGGGCTGGTAGATGCCCTTGAGTGAGCATGTGTACTGTGTGGTTATCACATTCAAAATGACCGAGCAAGTAGAGCAATGAATCTCCATCAGATTGAATGTTCCACTGTTAAGCCGGAACATTCCTCCATGGAAATTATTCAGATGATTCAAAAGGCTGCAGCTGTGGGCTACTGGTGATTGGTTGCTTCACCATGACAACATGCCCACTCGTGCATCACTCCTGGTGCAGAGCTTTTTGGCAAAACATCAAATTATCCAAGTGACTCGGCCCCATACAGCCCAGATTTGGTGCCCTGAGACTCCTGGCTTTTCCCAAAACTAAAATCACCTTTGAAAGGGAAAAGATTTCAGACCAACAATGAGATTCAGGAAAATACAGTGGGGCAGTTGTGTATACCTGGGCCATTAGGACAACTGTGTGAGGTCCTAAAGTGCCTAGTTTGAAGGGGACTGAGGTATGGTTGTCCTGTGTACAATGTTTCTTGTATCTTGTATCTTCAACAAACATCTCTATTTTTCATATTGTGTGGCTGGATACTTTCTGGATAGACTTCATATATAGAGAGATCACAAATGAGAATATACCTAATTATAATAACTGAAGAAATTAGGACAAATAATTTTGTCGAAATATGCATAAGACCTAAAAACAAAAACTACAAAAGAAATAAAATGGGATTTGGCAAAAAAGATTCTCATGTTTATCTGGAGGAATAAATAGGTAAAGGATAAACAGGAAAGGTTTAGTAAAGAAGACTAGTATAAAGGAAAACTAGGCCAATTTTAAGTATATTTTACTTATTTATTATTTTTTAAATTATATATTTTTAGACAGAAGGGAAGAGAGGGAGAGAAACATCAGTGTGTGGTTGCCTCTCATGTGGCAACCACTGGGGGCCTGGCTCACAACCCAGGCATGTGCCCTAGCCTGGGAATCGAACCAGCCACCCTTTGGTTTGTAGGCCAGCACGCAATCCACTGAGCCAAACTGGCCAAGGCCCAATTTTAAGTATATTTTAAACACAGTTATTATACCAGTGGAAAAGGTTGATGAATATGATAATCTCAAAACTATATATAGGCATTTTATATTTTGATAAAATTATGAAGATATAACAATTTAGGAAGCAACCTCTAATATTGAAGCAACAAGGTCTAGAACACCATTTTGCAAAGTATGCTCTATAGAACACTGTAATAATGGATAAAGTTAAAGTCTCCATGATCTAGTCAGTTTAGAAGAGTTTGAAAGTTCTGACAAAGATGGAGGCATAGGCAGAAACACTTTGCTTCCTCATACAACCAAAAGAAGGTTAACAACCAATTTAAAAACAAAGAACAATGAGAACTGCCAGACAGTCATTTGCATGGAAATCCAACAACCAAGGAATTAAAGAAACATTCATCCAGACTGGTAGGAGGAGTGGAGACAGGCAGCCAGGGTGGAGAGGATTCCCAGCAAGGCAAGGAGGCAGCCCACACAGGCAATCCCACATTCACATGCAGATAAACTGGGAAGAACAACAGGAGAGCAAGACAAAAAAACAAAACAAAACAAAACAAAAACACCCAGGGTTTCAGTGCAGGAAACTAAAGACTCAGAATCCCCGGCTGAAAAAATTTGTGGGGGTTGTGGTGTCAGGAAACTCCCAGTCTCACACAAGAGTCCATTGGAGAGGCCCACAAGGTTCAAAAATGTACACACACCAACCCACCTGTGAATAAGTACCTAAAAGGGCACAGCGCATTTGTGGGAAGTGATGGAAAGTGGGGCAAGAACCAAGCAAACACCATTGTTCCCTGTCTGATCCCTCCCCCACAGACAGTGCCCCATCACACTAAGATGGTTTACCCTGCTGTGGCAAATACCTAATGCTCCACCTCTTAACCACGTAACGTACCACACCAAGACAAAGATATATGGCTCCAATGGAGGAACAGATTGACTCCGGAAAAAGAGCTAAGTGATGAGGAGATAGACAGCCTACCAGATGCAGAGTTCAAAACACTGGTAATCAGGATGTTCCCAGAATTCATTGAACTCAGTTGCTAAATGAAGGCTACACAAGTGAAGTAAAGGAAGATACACAGGGAACCAATCATGCAGGGAAGGAAACTGCAACTCAAATAAACAATTTGGACCAAAAGGAAGTAAATAAACATCCAACTGGAACAGAATGAAAAAACAAGAATGCAAAAAAAATGAGGAGAGGCTTAGGAACTTGTGGGACAACTTCAAACTCTGCAACATCCGAATCATAGGGGTGCCAGAAGAAGAGGAAGAGCATGAAATTGAAAATGTATTTGAAAAAATAATGGAGAACTTCCTCAATCTAGCAAAGGAGATAGACTTCCAGGAAGCCCAGAGTCCCAAAGGAATTGTACCGAAGGAGGAACACATCATAATTAAGTTACCCAAAATTAAAGAGAGAATCTTAAAAGCAGCAAGAGAAAAGGAGACAAAGGAGTGCCCGTAAGACTGTCAAGCTGATTTCTCAAAAGAGACCTTATAGGCAAGAAGGGGGCTGGAAAGAAGTATTCCAAGTCATGAAAGGCAAGTATCTATATCCAAGATTACTTTACCCAGCAAAGCTTTCATTTAGAATGGAAGGGCAGATAAAGTGCTTCTCAGATAAGATCAAATTCAAGGAGTTCATCATCACCAAGCCCTTATATGAAATGTTAAAGGGACTTATCTAAGAAAAAGAAGATAAAAAAGATGAACAGTGAAAGGACAGCAAACTCACAGTTATTAACAACCACACCTAAAACAAAAGCAAACTAAGAGGACAGCTAGATCAGGAGCGGAGCCACAGAAATGGAGATCACATGGAGGGTTAGCAACAGGGGAGTGGGAGAGAGGGGGAAAAGGTACAGAGACTAAGCATAGATGGTAAGTAGAAAATAGACGGGGAGGTTAAGAATAGTATAGGAAGCCCTGGCTGGTGTAGCTCAGTGGATTGAGCACGGGCCTGTGAACCAGACAATCGCAGTTCGATTCCCAGTCAGGGCACATGCCTGGGTTGCAGACCAGTTCCCTGCAGACCAGTTCCCAGCAGGGGACGCACGAAAGGCAACCATACATTGATGTTTCTCTCCCTCTCTCCTACCCTTCCCATCTAAAGATAAATAAATAAAATATTTTTTAAAAAAAAAAAGAAGAGTATAGGAAATGTAGAAGCCAAAGAACGTACATGTTTGACCCATGGATGTGAACTAAAGGGTGGGGGGAATATGAGTGGGAGGGGGTGTGCAGGATGGAGGGGAATTAAGGGGGGGAAATGGGACAACTGTAATGGCATAATCAATAAAATATATTTTTAAAAAGAAAAATGGAGATCTCATGGAGGGTTATCAGTGAGGAGGAGGAGAAGGAGAATGGAGAAAAAAGGTATAGAGAATAAGAAGCATAATAGCTGGGCACAAAATAGGTGGAGGTTAAAAATGCTATAGGAAATGGAGAAGCCAAAGAACTTATACGTATGACCCACAGACATTAACTAAGGTGGGGGTGGGGAATGCTGGAGGGTGAGGGTAGTGCAGGGTGGAGGGGGATAAGGAGAAAAAAGTTGGGGCAACTGTAATAGCATAACCAGTAAAATGTACTTAAAAATAAACAATGGGTATCATTCAAAAAAGAAGAGCTTGGTTTAAAATAGTTTTTTTATAGCAGAAACTTTTGCAAAATGTTAATGTATGTTGTGAAACAGAATATCTATGTTTTTTAAACATGATGAAACCATATCAGAATATATTACAGCACTCCATTGGAACATGCTCTAGGAAACACTGTTTTCAATTTAGTTTTGTCCCTTTTTCCCCCATTGGACACAAAATGTCTGTTATATCTAAAATGTGTAATCATGAAAACAATTGTAAATCAACCACATTTCTAAAACAAGAAGTCTTCATGAAGAATGTTAAAAAGAAATGTATGAAGGGAAATGTATGATACTAAAGAGGCCTTTTATATGGGAGGGGAGGAATTAAGGACATGAAAAAACAAGCAAAACAAAACGGTTTAAGGAAAAAATTCTACAAAGTAATCAACAAAAGATAATATACAAGTTGATTTTAAATAAATGAACTTTGACTCTTACACATAAAGCAGCAGTGGACATAGAAAGAATTACTAGAATATAAACCTGGAAAAAATTTTCAAAATCCATAATCAAATATCACAAAAGGAAATGCTATTATGTATTGAGTTACCATGTTATATATGTGAATCGAACATCACCCCTTCCTTGCCAAATATAGTACTGCATTTGTGATTAGACACTTCACATTCTCTTTCTGTCTTCCTAGTTCCCACTCTGTGATGGATCTCACACAAAACACAATGAAGAGACTGGAGACAACGTGGGACCTTTGATCATCAAGAGAAAAGAAACTTAAGTCAGCAGTTTGATGCTGCAAACCAACTTGTCCTGATTGTTTAATTAGAATGACTACCACTTCTGTCTAATCTGCCTTCTCTGGGTTCTAGATGTGATCCATTGCAAACTGCTGCTTTCATATGCATGGCATTTGCCATACTTGTTGAGCCACCATGGTGCACAGTTGTTTAAACAAAAAAAAAAAAAAAAAAAAGGGAAAAAATGAAAGCAACATCATGGCCTGTGGGTTATTTTAGTCTTGGAAGGATCCGTTTCTTTATATTCAATGTAATCACATTAGAATGTACTTGTATGTTGAAGTTAAAGTAATAAATTATTCTCAAAATCATGAATATGCAAATTTACTTATAATATTCAAGAAAAAGTATCACCTTTTATAGCTTAGCTAACCTAGAAAGTAAATTGAGTGTGTTCAAACTACATTAATCTCAATACAGTGTAGGAGAAACCTATTATGACCTTGATTTTCTTCTTAACAGTGGTAATGACACTGAGACAATACAGCTTCTGTGTTTTCCCAGTTTTTAATCAAAATGAACTTTGAATGTTATTTGCTTATTTAGAAGTGGGCCAGGTCAATAATAAAGGGGTGGTAACTTGTAGTCATCTTCATGGATAGTTCATTGATCCATTAAAGCAACCACTAGTGATTTAGGTCTCAAAGGGAATATATTTAGAGTGGTCATGAAGGATGCCTTAAAATATAATGTTCCAGAATTATGTCCCAAGGAGTAGCATGCACCAATATGGGGACATTTAACTGGAGAACATAATGTCAAGACTCCTAAATGCAAAGTCACACATCACCAACAAATGGTGGTCAGAGGGTAAGAAGAAAGGTATGAGAACATTTTTATTTCCCAAAGAGCCCACAAACATTACATTCATTACTAATTCAGAAAAATGAAAATATAAAAACTAAAGTAATTAGAAGCAATAAAAGAATAAAGGAGTAAACATTTTTTAAAGAGAATTTTGGATATTATGGGTAAGAAGAGAAACATCGCAAAATACATATTAATACAGGCAAACATTATTTGAAATTTGCAAAACAAACTTTTTTTAAAGATTTTATTTATTTTTAGAAGGGAAGGGAGGGAGAGGAACATCAATGTGTAGTTGCATCTCACATGCCCTACTGGGGATCTGGCCCGAAATCCAGGCATATGCCCTAACTGGGAATCGAACCAGCAACCCTTTGATTCACAGGCCAGCACACAATCCACTGAGCCACACCAGCCAGGACCAGATAAATACTCTTATCATTTCTTTTAGTATACTGGGCTCCTCAGTAGTAGTAAATCACAAGCTTCTACTTGCTAAAATCCAGAATTACCTTGGAAGTTACAGGAATCAATGAAACCAAACAGTGTTCTTATGTGACCACTGACACTTTTTAAATATACAGTTTTGTGTATTGTGGTATATAAAGTTGAATCCCAGATTACGTGTACTGGTTTTAAGTATCCCATGTGACTTACTTGGACAAGTCTTTAAAGCACGTCTTCAGCCAAAATCTAAAATATCACAAACCTGGATCCTGCCTATCAGTTTCTTAGGGTACAATTTTTTCTGTGCCCTCCCCCCTTTTATAAAATAAGTATGAATGGATCAGAAAAAAGCGCATTATGCTTTTAAGAGGTTGTTTCAAAGAAAAAAATCCATGTGCTCCCAACATTTCTGGTAAAGGAACATTTTTTAACAGATTAAACTGTTTTCTTAATTTTGAATTTGAAATATTATTAGCCATGCATTTTTATAGTTAAGTGGAAGAGAAAATAAGTAGTACCAATTCTCAAAACTGTTTTCAAAGGTATAAAATTATATGGGGGTGTGTATGTTTACAGTGAAATTGTAGATCTACCATAGCATCAAGTCCAAAATAATTAGGTAAATTTATATTTTAGGTCATGTTAAAATGTTACTACATGCTCTTGAACTAGAATTTCTTTGGATATTAAAACCTTTTCATGTTACTTATTGTAAAAAGTTAAGTGGGTGTGATTTAGTTAATGTATGTTTTCACACAAAAGTCACTGTTCTCATTTAAGCATTCTAAAGCTTTTAATTGCTTTTTCATATGATTGGGAAATCAGGCAAATGGCACTTCCCCACGGCACCACCATCTTTTTATCCTCCGCGTCATTTATGTTCCAGTGATTTCCCAAAAACAAGGTTTCCAAAATAAGGTTTTAGGCTAAGGTTGAGAATTTTCTAACATTATGAAGAAACTTGTTCACTGTGATTTAGAATGACATTTGTCTCACCAGACATGCATTAAGCATATAGACCATACACTATGTAATTGAGAATGAAACATTTGGAGAATTAAAAGCTCAAAGTTTAGGTTATATCATTTATGACATAGGTTATATAACTTATGATTTGGTGTTATTTTTCTTGACAAATTATAGCGGGCACAGTCATGTATACAGTCTTTTACTAAGTAGGTGAATTTATTTGATCTTTGTATTAGATTTTGGTTATGTTTTTAGGATAAACATACATCAATTACAGCTCCTAATTAGCAGCATGCTCAGTGTTGGGCATCTGTGAGGATTCTCTACTAGTTGTCTACTAGAAGGTGTCCCTGCTTTTAACACTGATTTCAAGCAAAGCCACTTGCCTCTCAGCCTTTTAATTGAAGTCTTTGAACTAAATGGCATCTTAAGCAATTGTTCCTAAAATGTAGGCCAAGGCTAAATTTTCAGCATCCACAAAAGGCGGAAAAAGGCTGATAAAAGGTTATCAACTAAAATTTAATTTTTACAGAATTATTAAGTGTGGGAGTGACTAAGCCAAGGTCCTGTATACAGTTCTCAGACATACTGTTTTATAGGTATTAAAAACATAGTTTTATTTTAATACTTAGTTTTTATGTATGATTATTAGCACAATGCATTGCAACTTCATATAAAATTATTAATGTTAAAAAATGTTTTTTTTAATTCCATTTACCATCATGGATCCAAGCTAAGGATAATGCCAACCCATCCTAATCCCTTCACAACCTATAATTTTAACATGGTGATTTGCCAAGGATGATTGTTAGTTAATAGCACATCTGCGTTCCTGTGAAAGTCTGTATTTTTTCCAGATTTAATGGAAGAAGTACTTCATAAAAGAGGTGCATATATTAACTGAAGTTGCCAGGAATACTGCCAAAAGGGAAAGACTGGCAATAAAATTTTAATCCATCAATCAATGAATATGATTAAGATATAAATTAGGAGTGTCACCCCTTAGGTCTGTAAACAACAAAAAAAGTAGGTTTTGTTCAACCTCAACTGGAACAAAAGAGTGCCAAGCTGAGAATGTTTCAGGTAGGTATTGTGTAAATTAGATCTTCTTCACCTTCAGCAATAACATACCTGAGGATAGTCAATTTCTTTCTAGTTCTTCCAACCTGTCATGGATAAGCAGAAGTCAATTTCTGTCAAGACTTGGGTCTTCGAGTGCTACTTTAAAAGTTGTTTTCATTTGTTAAGTATACAGAGTTGTATAGATTCCCAGCTTTATTTTTACGTTTAAAATAATGCTGAATGTCTGCCACCTCCCTACATGCTCATTATGGTAAGAAACATTGTTTTTTGTAGGTTTTTTAAATAGGTTTTATTATGTTATTGCTGTTATCCCAGTGTTCCCCCTTTGTCCCCTCTTCCCAGTACTCCCATTGCCTCCAACAGTGTCCCACCCCCTTAGCTCATGTCCATGGGTCATGCATATAAGTTTTTGGGCTTCCACATTTCCTATACTATTCTTAACATTCCCCTGTCTATTTTGTAGCTACCATTTGTGATTCTTTTTCCCTGTATATTTTCCCCCATTCTCCCCCTTTCCCCTCCCAGCTGATAACCTTCCAATTGAACTCCATATCTATGATCCTGTTCCTATTCATGTTTTTTGCTTAGTTTGTTTTTATAGATTCAGTTGTTGATGTGAATTGTTACCATTTTAATGTTCATAGTTTTTATTTTCTTCTTTTTCTTAAGTCCCTTTAACATTTCATGTAATAATGGCTTGGTGACGATAACTCCTTTAGCTTTGCCTTGTCTGGAAAACAGTTGATCTTCTCTTCCATTCTAAATGATAGCTTTGCTGGATAATCTAGGTTGTAGGCCCTTGCTTTTCACCACTTTGAATACTTCTTGCCACTCCCTTCTTGGCTGCAAAGTTTCTTTTGAGAAATCAGCTGACGGTCTTATGGGCATTCCATTGTAGGTAACTGTGCTTTTCTCTAGCTGCTTTTCTTAAGATTCTCTCTTTTTCTTTAATCTTTAGCATTTTAATTATGATGTGTCTTGGGGTGCTCCTCTTTGGGTCCAACTCGTTTGGGACTCTCTGTGCTTCCTGGGCTTACATGTCTATTTCCTTTACCAAATTAGAGAAGTTTGCTTTCATTATTTTTTTCAAATAAGTTTTTAATTTCTTGCTCTTCCTCTTCTGGCATTCCTATCATTTTGATGTTTGTATGTTTGGAGATGTCCCAGAGTTTCCTTAGACTAACCTTGGTTTTTGTTTTTGTTTTTTAATAATTCTTTTTTCCTCTAGCTGTTGTGATTGAATGCTTATTTCTTCCTTGTGTTCCAAATTGTTGATTTTAATCTTAGCTACATACCCTCCACTGTTGGTTCCCTGTAGATATTTCTTTATTTCATTTAATGTAACCTTCATTTCTTCCTTGGTCTTTTTTATGCTGTTGCCATAGTCATTGAGTGCTTTGAGCATCCTGATAACCAGTGTTTTGAATTCTGCATTTGATAGGTTGGTTATCTCCATTTTGTTTAGTTCCGTAGAAAGAGGTTTGGGTTTTTTTTCCTAGAGTTTTCTATTTTTTCATTTGGGCCATGTTTCTTTTTTTTTTTTTTAGGTTTTATTATTTATTTTTAGAGAGGGGAAGGGTGGGAGAAATAGAGGGAGAAAAACATCAATGTGTGGTTGCTTCTCACATGGCCCCCCACTGGGGACCTGGCCTGCAACCCAGGCATGTGCTCTAGACTGGGAACTGAACCTGCTGCCCTTTGGTTCACAGGTTGACACTCAATCCACTGAACCACAGCAGCCAGGGCTGTACTATATATTTCTTTGTCTCCTCAGTTTGGCAGCCTCCCTGTGAGGAAGGGCAAGTCCCCCCATGTGCCATGGATGTGAGTAAATATGACTGAGACATGATGTGATCTGCTTGGGGAGGAGAGGTGGCCATTTTCCCAGAGGAAAAGGCCTTGAGCAGTGACCAGTTTCTCAGGGGAAAAAGGCATTGAGCCCCCTCCTCCAGGGCCTTTTATTGGGTTGTAATACACAGGAATACAGGGCAGCAAGGATCAAACA